CCTAACTAGATGTGGATATTAGGGGTACTGGTAAAATGAAACAATTGTAGGATTACTAGGTCTCATTACACATACAAAACCCAATATAACATATCTTTTGAAGAAAATAACAACACTTAGCTTACAATTCCTCCCCTCCTTTAAATTCTCTTACATCTCCCTCTGTTTGCCTAATTTTAGTTAAATATTTCTTTCTAGTTCATATTTCTCCTGATTTATGTATCCAATTTACTTCTGCAGAAAAATCTCATTTTGCTTCACGAAGGCTGAAAAATACAAAACATTCAATAATAAATATAACAAAAAACTAAAAATTAAAAAGTTGAAAAAAACTGTTTTGGGCTAACAGTTTATAAATGTCAAGTCTTTAGTTGATTCCTCCAATGTATCCTTGACAGCTAGTCCTCCATAAGACTGTACTGCAACACTTAAGAACTCATACAATGTTCATACATAATTTCCTCCTCTTCAGGGCCATCACAGTCCACATGACAAGAAACTTCCAGAAAATGTGCACATCTGTTGGAATTATAGCAAACTGAGCTTTGACTTATATTCATGGACAGCTGAAATGATAAGTATAAAAATTTCTTCAAATGTTTAAAAGTTTTTGAAACCACTTTTCTCCATCACTGTTGTTTGTGGCTGATGTCATAAAGTCCAGGAATAAGGAGGATATTTTTGAAGATGGCGGCATTCAGATTGCTAGTCCAACATTCGATAGTTAACAAAAATGCCCATAGAGCCATGGCATTTTTATTTTTCTGCCGAAGTAAATCTATGTTATAGAGACAAAAAGTCCTAGAAGAAAAGAAAAGAAATCCATCTTAATACAAGGAGAAAGCATTCTCACTTAGTATAATGTGTTACTCAACCGTCATCTAAACTTAACTACACTATTCAGAATTCAATGAAACATTGATCATGAACAATAGGCTATCTCAAAGGGGGCCTATCATGTATGGCTGGGATCAGCGACCTTACAGTTGACCAGGACAGAGACAGGAGACTTGGAGAGCACAAATTACAGGACTTACAAGAATGACAGGGGAGTACAGTTCAGCACAGGGGGACTGGTCTTACAAACAAGCAGGAGACAAAATGCTAGTAAGAAACACTTGTAGCACTGGGCATCAGGGCTCACAGGGAATGCAGGTACAAAGGATACAGCTGATGTATCATGGATTCTAAGACAGGAAGGATACCCAACGGTACCATATGGGGAGAACACAGCATGTCCGCACATGCAGCAAGGGTGAGGGATCTTGAAAGGGCCAAGGCACAGAGTCTAAGGAACCACCTTGTCTTCTTCAGAGCTCTTGAAAGTAGAGATAAGTTTTGGTGCAGACATTCCACAGGTTGCGGTCCTCGTACTCACTCAGCTACTGGGAGCTACCAACTGATAAATAAGAACTCTTTGTAGCAATGAGGCACAGGGATCACTGGACAGTAGGGAGCTCAGTTCAAGCTGACAGGTATGCTTGGATACACACAGACTCTGGGAACAGGAACACAGAGACACACAAGACAACTAGGAGTAGGTTGCAAAGCAAACAGGATTCTCTAAGAGCAGGTAGCGATACACGGTGACACTGAACAGGAAATGGGATTGGAATACACTTTGAGCATGGAACTACATGTATAAGCATACCTGCTGCTCTTTGGAAATAGAGGAGACAGGTCTGAAGCAAAGCTGAAGACCCCTGACATAGGCCTAATTTAAAATCTTAACTATATCCAATTAATTTTAACAATCAATATAGTAACATTAACATAAATTCATTATATTTCTTTTAGGATATTATAGGTGTTAAAATAGAGAAACAATTATTCAACTCAATCTTAATCAAACTTTCATCTCACAATAATATAAAAAATGTATAAGATAGAAAATGCTTAGTTATATTGTCACTGGTAATAGGGGATTTCTGGCTTTATTAGGTTGGTTAGGGGACCTCTTGGGGTGTTGAACTCGGTAATACCAGAACCCATACATGTTAGATCAGAACACACAACAAAGAAGATCTAGCACCCAATAAAAAGGCAACTAGGAACTGCTAGTCAGTACAAACTCAAACAAATGCACCAATATCACAAATGGGGGTGAAACCCCCTTAAGTATTTACATTAAAAATAGATTAATAAAAACAAGGAAGAAACAATTTGGAACAATACTTCCATTGGTGGACTTTCTATGAAGGCTGTGATCTCCTTCTGTTCTGAAAGCCTAAAGAAGTCAAAACAGGGCATTGATATAATCTGAGGAATAAGCATTCAATTACATTTAGTAATAAACATTACACTTTCCTTCTAACAATAAAACCAATGGTTAATGATCTTTAACCTCACCAACAAAGCAACAGTACATATTTTTTTAAATTTTCTTTGTTGTTTCTAACAGTGCACTTTTCTAATACCAAAAATTGTTGACGTCAAATTAATTATTACCATGTGGATTTTTGTTTATGATATACCATTAAGAAAAAAAAAATTATTATTGTTCACCATGGTTAAAAAAAATTGCAGCTCAATGTAAACCTTTTAGTAAGCTACCATTTGTCTGCAAGAGAGTTTATATACTACTTCACCATACTGAACACATAGGAAAACTCCTCAAGCTGTATCTCTAGAAAAAACAGACACAATATAGTGAATACACATAACAATTCACTATCACCGCTAATTTCCTTTTAAAGTTCACATGGCTCAGTAAATTTGCATGACCATACACAGATGTTCACACTCACAAACCATGAAATTAACCTGATGTCAAGCACTCGGCTTGTAGTAACTGATAGCACTAGAGAATGAGCCGAAGCGAACTTGGCGAAGTGGAATTCCGTCTTTCGAATATTAGGAAAAATTTATGCGCGCCGAATCCGAAAATTAGCAACCTTCGGTTGCCGCGATATCGAAATTTTCCAAAAAATGGGCGGCGACATGTGTTGGCGACGGGCAGGGGGATCTCTGGGAAGGCTGCGCATCACAAGGCGCGCTGACCCATAATAGCAATTCATTTCATGAACAGTGACTCGCATTAGCCAATCAGCAGCCAGCCAGCCAGCCACTGAGTAATTGGTCGAGCTATATAATTGCAGGCCATCGTTAGAAATTCTCCATCTAGCCTCCGGTCATTCAAGAGTGACAGACCTCTCTGTTATTAGGGACAGAGTTTTTAGGGGCCAGAGGGAGACTTTAGGGACACAGAATCGTTACATAGGGACACAAAAATTGTTACTCCAGGGACACAGAAATTGTTACTCAGGGAGACAGAACTCGTTGTCTCAGGGACCCAGAATTGTAACTACCAGGGACAGACACAGAATTGGTACTGAGGGACACAGAATTGTTACTGAGGGGGACACAGAATTGTTACTCAGGGACACAGTTACTGTACTCAGGGACACAGAACTGTTACTTCAGGGGACAGACACAGAATTGTACTGAGGGACACAGAATGTTACTGAGGGACACAGAATTGTTACTCCGGGGACACAGAATTGTTACTCAGGGACACAGAACTGTTACTACAGGAGACCACAGAATTGTTAACTGAGGGGACACAGAATTGTTACTGAGGGACACAGAATAGTTTACTCAGGGACCAGACACAGCATTGTGACTGAAGAGAGACACAGAATAGATACTGAGGGGACACAGATCTGTTACACACCGAGACACAGAATTGTTACTCCAAGGACAGACACAGAATTGTTACTGGGGCCACAGAATTGTTACTCCCAGGGACACAGATTTTGTTACTGAGGGACACAGAAACTGTTACCCAGGGGTCACAAGGAATTGTACGCAGGGAACAGACACCCAGAATTGGTTACTGAGGCACCACAGAATTGTTACTGAGGGACACAGAATTGTTACTCAGGACACAGAATTGTTACTGAGGGACAAGAACCTGTGACTCAGAGACTACTGAACTTGTTACTCAGGGACACAGAATTGTTTACTCAGGGGACACAGAAATTTGGTTACTCAGGGGACACAGAAATTTGTTACTGAGGACCACAAAATGTTACTGCAGGGACCACAGAATTGTTACACCAGGACAGACACAGAATTATTACTGAGGGACACAGAATGTGTTACTGAAGGGTACAGAATTGTTTACTCCAGGGACACATAAAAAAATTTTTTGTATTTAATACAGGGACACAGAATTGTTACTCAGGGACACAGAACTGTGACATCAGGGACACAGAAATGTTACTTAGGGTGCAGACACAGAATTGTTACTACAGTAGACATAGAATTGTTACTCAGGACACAGAAATGACAGACACAGAATAGTTTATCTGGGAGGGACATCAGAATGTTACTCAGGGGACCACAGAACAATGAGGGACAGCATGAATTGTTTACTGAGGAACACAGAATTGTTACTCAAGGACACAGTAATTGTTGTGCTCAGGGACACATATACTGTTTACTCAGGGACTCAGACTAATTGTTACTATGAGAGGGACACAGAAGTACTCTAATGGCCACAGAATTGTTACTCAGGGGACAGAACAGAAATAGGTTACTGAGGGAACACAGAATAGTTTACTGAGGGACACCAGAATTGTTACTCAGGGACACAGAATTGTTACTCAGGACAGACTACAGAATTGTTACTGAGGACACAGAATTGTTACTGAGGGCACAGAATTGCGGTTAAGGACACAAGAATTGTTACTCAGTGACCGACACAGAATTGTTACTACAGGGACACAAGAACTGTTACTCAGAGGCACACAGAATCCTTACTCAGTAGAGCACAGAAAACCTTACTCAGAGACTAAGACACAGAATTACTTCACTGAGGGACCGACACAGAATATGGTCATACTCAGGATTCACAGAATTGTTACGTCAGGGACAAAGGACACAGAATTAGTTACTCAGGGACCAGAACTGTTGACTCAGGGACATCAGAAATGTGTTACTGAGGGACACAGAAATTGTTTACTCTGAGGGACACAGGAATCTTGAATCTAACGAGTATGTCAACAACACCCCAGAATTGTCACTCATGGACAGACTCAGAATGTTTCGGAGCGACTGACGTGGCCGCAGAACAGTGAGAGTGTAGAGGGCCCAGCACAGGTCGCAGCTTATGAGGCCAGTGCTCCGGTGTATCACAGCGGTCGTGACACAGAAACCCTGCCGACTCAGATTGGACACAGATCGTCTTCTTGTTAGTCATGTCATGACACTACAGGCCATCGTCGGTGGGTACGTCAGACAGGCAACCGTTAGTTAGGCAGCGAGCCACGTGAGCAGATGCACTGAAATCAGTGTCTCTTACCTGACCCCTCGTCCTTTGGCTGTTCCTCTCACCAAGCGACAGTATCGCATTGCTGTGGGGCTCAGCCCCACTGTACAGTGGAGGAAGAGCTAACAGAGGGCGGTCAGGAACGGGGGGAGAACATTCCGCCTCTTATAGCACGCCAGGCGAAGAAGTACTGGCGAGGAGAGTGGCTCGGTAGCCGTGTCTAGAGACAGGTCTATTCCGTACTCCTGACCCACACAGCAGACGAGGGGGCTAGTAGTGAGGCGGAGACCCTAATTGATGATGATGGAGGCTTGATCGCACTTGGCAGCCTCGTCGTCATCAGGCTATTGCTTCCGCATCATCAGGAGAAGAGGGTGCTCAGCTTGGCAGCGAGCAAAAAACAGTCGGTGGGTCTTGCCTCCAGGAAGGCGCAGGGTCTGCAGCTGTGTCAGTGGTGCCAAACGGGTTTCACGGAGTACAGAGGCACCCAGCTCCACTCCAAAGCCTACACCATCGGCCATCGTAGTGGTGCCGGTGCGCACGGGAGGAAGGTAGCAGTCAGCCAGTGAGAGAGGAGTGCGGTGGCAAAGTATTACGGCCTACTCGTACGGTGTGGCAATTTGCCCGTTCAAAGCCGCCGGAAAAAAATGAAGGGAAGTAAACCATAGCTTAATATGTAGACTAGTGGCACGAGAAAGTCAAGCGTGTCCAGGGGGCCATGTTGGGCAGGACTAGACAGCGTTGTGTCAGGCATATGCAGCGTCGCCTATATACACGGTTGGCCTGGGAAAACAGTGATAAAGATACAGGCTGGTTCTGCCTGCCCCAAGGCAGCCCCTCCAATCACCCGCATTACGGGTTACATGCTCCGTCACTCCGACTCCAATCCCGCCCTCTATATCAAGAGCCTAGTCAAAGGCTCCAACACCTCATGCTGAGAAGGGAGCGTTGTCGCTCGTTGGCATCATCCGCACGTGTCAGATGCTCCTTCTCCTGCGACATCCTCTTCACGGATGTCCCATCCTAGCAGTCATTTCTTTGAATCTCCGTGAGTCCAAGAGACAACTCGTTTGCAGAGCACGCAAAGCATCGCCAGACGGTCTGCAGAAGCTAGACACATTCCTCACTGGTTCGCAAGTCTGCTGGTGCTGCAGGTCCCCTCCCTTTCCAAGTGGTTTTGGGCTGGCAGCAGTCCTTTCCGAGCTAATGGATGCTTGTGCCGAAGCGCCGCGGTGGAGAGTGCCAAGCTGTCATTTCATACGGCCAAAAATGCAGGTGCCAGCCTGCATTCACATGTCGAAAAGAGTATGGTGGGGCCAGTCTTTGAGGCATTGTCGGAGGCCATCTCTGCCAAAAGAGTGCACGGCAGCCCGACGTGTGGAGCTGTAACTACGGTCAGAGGACAGTAATGTCATATTGGTTACCGAGCCACTGTGGTCGTGAACGGTGGTGCAGTCACTAAGCCGCACAGCAAACTTGGGGACAGGACCACGACGCTTTTGCCTCCACGTTTGCACATCCTTGGTCCAGCGTAACAGTGGTCCGCCTTCTACCAACCCTCTTCTTCCGCCGTGTCCTCAGCCGCAACACCCACACCCGTGCCAAGTCCCATTACCCGCTGATTCGGCATATCACATGTGCAGGGCGCAACGGTGTCACGCTGTGCTGCACTGGTATGCCTTGGCAGAACGTAGTTCACACAGGGGAGGAACTTCTGAGTGTAATGAAACAGAGAAATCGACAGATGGCTGTCTCTCCGCGCAAACTGAAAATCGGAACCATGTTGACCGACAACGGAAAGAACACTGGTGTCTGCTCTGCGTCAAGGAAGGTTGTGCCATGCGCCATGCATGGCTCACGTGTTCACAATCTGGTTGTCAAGCGGTTCCTAAAATCCACCAATCACCCACTGCAAGACATCCTTAAAATGTCACGTAAACTTTGCATGCATTTCAGCCATTCCTACACCGCAAAGCACACCCTCCTTGAGCTGCAGCGGCAGAACGGAATTCCACAGCATCGCCTGATCTGCGACGTTGCAACAAGGTGGAATTCAACCCTACACATATGTTAGACCGCCTTTACGAACAGCGAAAGGCCATCACCGATTTCCTGATGTTACAAGCGGATAAAGGTACTCCCCTGTGTAACTTCGATGTCAGCCAATGGCAGCTCATGCGTGACACCTGCCGCTTGCTCAGGCCCTTTGAGGAGGGCCACGCTATTCGTGAGTCGGCAGGACTATGGGATGAACGACGTCATTCGACCTGTTTGTTGCAAACGTCCTGGAACAAATGCTGTGTTAACAATGGCTGGTCAGGGTAGCGGTAGACGTGGCGCTACACAGATCTCAACGCCACATGACCCCTGTGGGGGCAGGACAGAAGAAGAGGAGGAGGTAGAGGAGGACATTGGTGCTCAGGAATTATTGAGTGAAATGGGTGGTTTTTCCACTCAGCGGACAGGAGTGGAGGAGCAGGAGCATCTGGTAGAGGAGGAGGAGGAGGAGACAGAGGACCCAGACGCACCGAGGCAGTATGCTGTGGAGATGGAGGCAGGGAGTCCCTCGCATTCCTTGGCACAAATGGCCCATAGCATGCTCGGTTGCTTGCGTAGCGACAGCCGAATAATAACCATCAGACAGAGGGATGACTTTTGGCTGTCCACCTTGTTGGACCCTCGCTACCGTTCAAAAATGGTGGCCTTTTTTCACACCTGCTGAGAGGGAGGCCAAAATAACGTACTATAAAAACCACCTATGTAGTCAGTTGTTGGTCTCTGCCTTTCTGCGCCAACGTCCATCCTCAGACACTGTGGGCCCTGTGCGCTCGCGTTCCGCTGCCATGGCAGCAGGGGAGGGGTGGGGTGGTAGGAGCAGTGGCAGCTCCACCAGCAGCGGCTGCCTCAGTCTGCAGTCGATGATGAGTAGCTTTCTTCACCAGCGCAGTGAGGAAACTACTAACCACCGCAGCAGCAGCAGCAGCAGCATCAGGTGGACCTGGAGCAGGACCTCAAACAACAGGCTTGGGCCTACTTGGACAGCACCCTGCCAACCGAGGTAGACAATCCCCTTGACTACTGGGCAACGAAACTTGACCTTTGGCCCCAACTAGCTGAATTTGCCCTTGAAAGGCTGTCATGCCCGGCCAGTAGCGTGGCATCGGAGCGCGTGTTTAGTGCGGCAGGAGGTATTGTAACTCCGCGGAGGACACGACTGTCCACCCAAAGTGTGGAGAGACTCACGTTTGTGAAAATGAATCAGGCGTGGATTAGTCTGGATTTCAAACCACCAGTTCCTGACACAACTGACTAAATCCGCCATGAATCATGCCCAAACATGTTATTATTTTTAACATAGGCCTCTTGTATGGCCTTCAATTTCAAGCTGCTTACAGCTTCCCATAGTGTACTAGCCAGGCTTCCTAATCTGCCATGGGCCCCCTGTACCGCCTCCTCTTGCTGCTGCCAGGTCCAGAGTGTGTCATGGGTCCCTGTACGGCCTCCCATTGCTGCTGTCTCCATCGCCACACTCTGCCATGTGCCACTTTCAGGTCTCCTCACACTGCTGGTGGGTCATTTTGTCCATTTTGTCATAGGGTGCAGCAGATTACTGGCCTCCCATTGCTGCTGCCAGCAGTAATCTGCCACGGGCCCCCGTACCGACTCCTATGCTGCTGCCAGGCCGTAATCTGTCATGGGCCCCTGTACCGCCTCCTCATGCTGCTGCCAGGTCCAGAGTGTGTCATGGGTCCCTGTACGGCCTCCCATTGCTGCTGTCTCCATCGCCACACTCTGCCATGTGCCACTTTCAGGTCTCCTCACACTGCTGGTGGGTTCCATTTTGTCATAGGGTGCTGGCAGATTACGGGCCTCCCATTGCTGCTGCCAGGCCCGTAATCTGCCATGGGCCCCCGTTACGACTCCTCATGCTGCTGCCAGGCCCGTAATCTGTCATGGGCCCCTGTACCGCCTCCTCATGCTGCTGCCAGGTCCAGAGTGTGTCATGGGTCCCTGTACGGCCTCCCATTGCTGCTGTCTCCATCGCCACACTCTGCCATGTGCCACTTTCAGGTCTCCTCACATGCTGGTGGGTTCCATTTTGTCATAGGGTGCTGGCAGATTACGGCCTCCCATTGCTGCTGCCAGGCCCCGTAATCTGCCATGGGCCCCTGTACCGCCTCCTCATGCTGCTGCCAGGTCCAGAGTGTGTCATGGGTCCCTGTACGGCCTCCCATTGCTGCTGTCTCCATCGCCACACTCTGCCATGTGCCACTTTCAGGTCTCCTCACACTGCTGGTGGGTTCCATTTTGTCATAGGGTGCTGGCAGATTACGGGCCTCCCATTGCTGCTGCCAGGCCCGTAATCTGCCATGGGCCCCTGTACCGCCTCCTCATGCTGCTGCCAGGTCCAGAGTGTGTCATGGGTCCCTGTAACGCCTCCCATTGCTGCTGTCTCCATCGCCACACTCTGCCATGTGCCACTTTCAGGTCTCCTCACACTGCTGGTGGGTTCCATTTTGTCATAGGGTGTGGCAGATTAGGGCCTCCCATTGCTGCTGCCAGGCCCGTAATCTGCCATGGGCCCCGTACGACTCCTCATGCTGCTGCCAGGCCCGTAATCTGTCATGGGCCCTGTACCGCCTCCTCATGCTGCTGCCAGGTCCAGAGTGTGTCATGGGTCCCTGTACGGCCTCCCATTGCTGCTGTCTCCATCGCCACACTCTGCCATGTGCCACTTTCAGGTCTCCTCACACTGCTGGTGGGTTCCATTTTGTCATAGGGTGCTGGCAGATTACGGGCCTCCCATTGCTGCTGCCAGGCCCGTAATCTGCCATGGGCCCCCGTACCGACTCCTCAT